TGTTTTTGTTCAAAAACTACTCATAGCATATTGACAACAGCAGTCTGCTGTTGTCAATATGCTATGAGTAGTTTTTGAACAAAAACAAAATGCTATGATAGCTATTCCTGGGGCCTGCCACTCTAACTGATTATTTAAAATCTTTAAGTATCATACAAGGAAATAAACTGCATTCATAGTCGCTTTCTAATAATCAAAAGGTGAACGGAAGGTGAGAGTTCAAACCAGTACGTGCTATTCCAAGTTTCGAGTTTATGTAATGTGATAGGTTATGTTCGGGAGCTGTCAAACATCTAACAATCATCTGTAGCCTGTCCTTGTCACAGTGTTTGGAAACAGCTGATCTGCACATTGTTGTCGTGTAAGTGACGTAATAACACTGTTTGTAAACGAGATTTGCGTCACACATCAGCTGATCTTATTGTTGAAGTGACGGTATCAAATCACAATATGGAGCACCTTTGGTGTCTATAGAAATATGAGACGTAGTGCGTAGTGTAACATTATTGACCTAAAAAGGTGAGTGGAATCGTTTTTTCATCTATGAATTGTTAATTTGGTTAATCTTTATTGAATTACTATGCATACGTGTATTTGAAACAATGATGGATCAAACTTTATGGCGGGACGGGTTTAACAAGATTAGTACTACAAAACCCCCACCAAAGCTGAACAGTCACAAAATAAGCTAGGATGTAGACCAGAACCGGTTTCCAGATATAATTCATTGGCGAATGGTGGGATTTGAACCCTAGACCTCGGGGACTCAAACCACATGCTCTTCCAATAGACCAGCTCGTTTCCCTTTAACTGTATAATATTCTAAAGAAGAATGAAAATAACATAAAACAAAAAAAGAACTAGTACACATTAATTAAATAACTTAAGCCACCACATAGTGAAGTAGTGTCTGTTTATTAGCCTAACTCTCTCGTACCAATTTAGTTTCATTAAATGTTTATGGTTAAGCAAAATAAGCCAAAAATACACTTAATCCTTCAAACATTTACGAATCTTGCCAACATTTTGAAAACGGTCCTAAGCGTCGCAACTCTTACTCCACTGTAAAATGTCGACTCCACTCGACAAGGTAATGTTCTACTACGTATCAAACGATCCTGAATCAGCTGATCGCCCTAACAGCTGTTACGCCATGGGTTCTTCAATGTACTAGAGGCACGTCGTCAAAATAACCATCACAAGACACTTTTACGTGAGGCCTCACCAGTCCAAGAGGCCTTGGCACACATTATTTTGTCACGGAGACAAAATAAGTGTAATTCAGTGTGTCTGGTGGGTTTGTTTTGACTATGGAATCGTTAATGAGTAGTTTCGGTTGTATATTTAAAATAACTTGTATGCATTGATAATTTTGCTAGATTTCAAAGCAGAACATTAAGTCACACAAGTAAGGACATAAGTCAAAATGGTTTTGGAATATTTCAAAGGTGTCTAATAATTAATGTATAACGTATGATAAGTATATGTATTGCATTTTTTCTTTTTCAGTCATCCGAACGGTTTACTAAAAGACTTATGTAATTTAATGTACTATGTAATGGTTATCTATATATATACTTATTTAATACGCAAGCAGGTTTTTTGTGACAATTACTCCTCCGAAACTACTGAACCGATTGACACGTTTTTGGTGTCATTAGAAAGAACGTAACGTGAAGTTGTGCAGGAAACTTTCTTTTTAGGGAAATAATTAGAGAGTGAGGCACTGGGGCCCTTTAAAGATTCGCATTTCTCCATAAGATTAACATGGGGAACAAACATTGTTTTGAAACCCCAGCTGTTGTTAGAAATGGAATATTAATAATTGGTCTCCATGGAAGCATGAGAAAATTCACAATATTTACATTTGCTTTGACATTTACACCACAACCAGAACTGTCAAAAGCCTATTTCACAGTTTCAGACAGCTGATAAAAATAAAATAAAACTACTTTGAGGTGGGTTTATTCAATCTTAAACTTTATGATAGATTATTATTTTATTATAAATGTATGATATAAGTTATTAATTATTGAATTTTTATTTTAAGGATTTTGCATATGAGTATGCATATGATAAATAACACCAATTTAGAGTTCTGCCAGTACTAACTCTTTTCTGTAGAGTTTAAAGTAGCCTACACCTTATTGTCTACAAATTGGCTAAATAACTTAGGTACGGTACATTATAAAAGCTGACAGCCTTTTTAATTTGACTTAAATTGTAAGCTTACCTTTTCCCGTCCATGTGCAGTTTGATAGTTAAAAATTAACCCTTTAAACTGGAATAGGACTGTTATGTAAATTGTGAGTATTTCCGTTGGTTAATAATCTGTTAGTTAACTCTTTCAAAATCATCGGAAATTTTGACTGTTATTCGTTTTTAAACAAGTCATTTGTTTATAAATAACTCCTGTACTTCTTTGCAATTGCTCGATTTCGAGCAACATGTACACTAGTTAGTTAATTAAAGCGATTTTTTTTACAAAAAGTATTGGAACCCGATTTTCTTTCGCTGACACATGATCAGTAATGCAACAACGAATGGACAACTGTGCCAATAACTTCAATAATTAAACTATACCATTTAGTAACAGTTTTCCTATGGGGTTATTCACACTGTGATTATGCTGTGGAAACCTATATAAAAATAGTAATTTCTTTGCAAACACCCGGAGATTGTTTGGATCACATGCAAACCTTGGTTGACATGTTGCTGTTCCGAATTAGAAAACAACGGGGAACTTTTAGGATAACAGCCTAAGCCAACAAAATAATCGGCAGAAGCCGCAAAACTCTTCGTACACCTGCAAATGTCAAAATATTGTGCCACTCGAAGCCCAAAGAGGTTTGCCAGAAAAGGCCTTCGTTGTTGGAAGCTTTCCATTTGCTCTTTTCATTCATTGGGGGTTCTACTAACTTCCTTTAAACTAGTTCAAGATTATTTAAAGTCACTCCTAATTTTTGCTGGAACTGAAACTAAATATACCCACGAAATTTTAGTAATTGCTGAAGAAATGCTGGAAAATGTATTTCTCAATCTTCAGGTGGTTTTTAATTTTTCTTTTAAATTTTGATTTTCAATAGTTATTTTTCCCATAAGATAACAGAAAATACGTAAAAAAAAACTCAAACGATTAGAATTGAAATTTTGTGAATTATAATTTTACTCTAAACATATGGTCAAACCCCAGTTACTAAAAAAATTACGGCTCAAAAGCTATTGTAACGTTTGTGATTTTACCCATAAAATATTATAATTACTCCCCCCACTTACTAATAAGGGAAGTTGACAGTATATGGGAGAAAGAATGTTAATCCACCGTTTATTATCTAGGGAACGACCTAAGCTCACAACGGTTGCTTTTGTCAGTATCTCATGTTAACTTCTTGGATAGCACAATTAATTAAAAGCAAAGTGACGAATCATCACTTAGTTTATGAACGGTCCTACTCCGGCATTAAAGCAACGTGTCATAAACAAATTTTTACTTATTGTTATCAATGAAAAATATATATTACTCATTCACTTTTACAAGTGTCTTTGAAATCATTATCGAATAGGTAAACATTGAACTAAATAAAAAAGGTTTTATTTGTTTTTTCAAACAAAGACCAAATCACCTAAAGTGTTAAAATGTAAAACAAACAAGGGACTTGTACTTGTGTTTTAGTAACAATATTGTTTGTTAAGCCTTGTCTTAAGGCTGAGTTGGAGCACAAACAACCTTCAAAGATAGAATACCGAGCAAAATCAGCAAATGCAGGGAATATGACATAGAATGAGCAATGGGTCTGGACCTCTCCAAAAGACACGGAAGTTAAAATAGACCCTGAAATTTGAAGGACATTTAAATTTCTTTGTGTTCTGGTTGTTAAAGCAAAACAATTTTTATGATGCAAAGTAAAATTAAACCTTACTTCAAAACATAATTTTTTATTGAACACGACAAACAAAATATAATGATACAAATTAAAAATTGAAAACGTTGAACTTAATTAATTTTGGTTTATGATTTGTCAGACGCTAATTATAAATAGTAAAATATTACATATAAGTACAGTTTTTAAATACATTATTTGGTTGTTTAAAGTTGTTGTTCAATAAGCGATGCCGATAGGAAAATATTCGTTCCTAGTTAACGTTTTAACAACAATAAAACAAACCGTCTAAAACGTAGATACATATAAACAATATAATCCAACTCATTGGATAGAAAAAGGTTTTTTAGTCTTATAATCTTTTCGCTTGATAAAATTTAAGTTGCAATTCAAATAATTTGCAACAAATAGTTCAGACACCCTTCAAATTATTAATATATTCATATACAACTCTTCACCTCATAAATAGGCTTCTTTCGATAGCTACATACATCTTGTATTAAAATAAAGCTACAGAAAATCAAACTAATAAGACTGTTAGTAAAGCCTTTGATAGAAACAAAATCAAATACAAGAAAACAAATCAAATTATATTTAAACCCTTGCATGGTGTAAATATTGTTCATCTCAATCTAAACTTAGTTGCTTTGAGAACACACACAAATATGTGTTATGATACATTATAAAGTGTTCCTTGCAATATAAAGGTTATCTTGGTTCAATATTCAAAACAAAACCACATCAAACACTATTTAATTTAAGTAGTAGATTGCTTATTTTGGCTTGTAATTTATATCAAATGTACTTTTTTTAGGACACCACCCACATCGAAGTTGAAGAAGAAAATGTACACCCATTTACCAGAAAATATCCACAAAATAATCCATTTCGACAATTTAAATTATAAGACCAGTGGTAGGTAAATACATCCATTTTCGTTCCGAATGTGGTAAACTTCATTGCGCCATGATCTCCCAATACCGTAACATGGAGTGCGGTTACCGCCAAAACTACGGTTCCCGCCAAAACTGGCCGAGAACAGCTGATTGCTGGGTCACGTGACTGGTGATGATACCTGGAGAAAGGTCCTTCCAGTGATAAGCCCCCCTCCCTGCTACCTCCAGGTGGACTTATATACTGAGGATGAGCTATGGATGGTCAGACCACGGATCTCCACCATGAACGTGAGTATATCTTTATCTCTTATTACTTCTCTTACTTAAAGTTTACTCAGTTCGTGGCAGCAAATACACACACATTTGAGGTCAATTTTGTTTTTATGTTTTTTTAAATATTTGACACATTTAATACACTGTATTTTTTTTACAAATCAATACATCTAGTTGTCATCGACAATAAAATGAAATGATTTACTTAAAAATCACTGTTGGTTTTGGTACAACATTTCTGTGAATGTTCCTACCTACTTAGTTTTTATGAGAACTAAAATTTGGTGAAAGTAGCTTTTATGATATATCCAGTAAAAATTTATTTCAATGACTAATTTATACTTTTATAACCAAACTGTCAAGTGCCATTAGGTAGCTTAAGAGTTATCATGTATGCATTTAAATACTTTTTACAAAGTCTTATATCCTCTCTCAAAATGTAGATAAACACTTTTTTGTTTGTGGCTTCAACAATGTACCAGATACCTGTAACAATTACTAATATTATACAAAAAAAATGGAAACTTAACAATAATTTAAAAAGTCATTGCAGCTTGGTCAAGAATACATACTTACTGAACAGAAGCTTGTTAGTGGTAAAAGTTGCAAGTAATTAATGCAATTAAAAGATTTAGTGTCCCTAACAAATATATAAACACCACAATATTTTTAAAAGATAAAAAAACACCTCAAACAATAATTAATTAAATATTAATTTACTTTAAGTCATTACAAAACTCATTGAAAGATTCAGACAAAAAATGAAAACGCTGAGAAAATTGGAGTTATTTAAAATTTATGCATTAGAAAAGGGGGAAGCTGATTTCAGATTCATGAAAGAACCACCTTACGCACACCATGGTGAAATGGGGGGTTGGATGACTTTGGGGGGGGGGGGGGCAAGGTGTCCCGACCTGAGGTGTAATAGGCTGTCAGCTGTGACAAATAGACCCGCCAAAACTACATTACCCGCCGAATAATGTGGAAATCGTAAGGCGTCATGGCAGATAAAATATACCACGGATAAAGTCACCGATATGATTCGGCTGTAGGAAAAATCGAGTGTGATGCCTCCCCTTACGAATCTAATGGCGTACATTTTCTATAAAATTAGTATGAAACGTTTTCTATGTAGGTACTATTGCTACTATTTGACATCTCCTTAAATTTAGGGTTAGGATATAGGGTTGAGCGGTTGTTGTTTAAAATAGGTGCAAACGCAAACGCTTTCCAAATCGGGTGAAAAAATGTCATTTTTGACATTTTAAAATATGAATTTTTAAGGAAACGTACACAAACCTGACTTCTGATCCAAGATTAGTTAGCTTAAAAACTTCAGTATGGTACGCAATAGTCCTTTTACTAGGGTTAAATATACGTTTATTTAGAACAATTTAGCTCAAGCCAAAAGCTTTTTATTTAAGGTTAACACCACCAGTCAAAAAACAAAATTGTTTATAGTTTATTCTTGTTTGAATCCCTAATATTTCAACACTCATACTGCATACAAACCTAATACCAGTAACACTACTTCGTCATGTAGTTACTAGGAAAAAACTTAATTTCCTCAAATTTAGGTTTTTGTAAAAATATTCTTTGTTTATATTTATTTATTTCTTTGTAATATTAACAGTCCAAGCTTTTTTTTAATTGCGTGCAAAATATATACGTGACCTTGCTGAGAGAGGGTTGATGGTTGATTTGTGACTCATAAACAATGTTGAGTCGCGCAAGAGTTGACGTTAATGAGTGGTTCATAAAGCATTGTGTTGATTAAAAACATAAACTTGTGTACCCCAGTTTATGTTTCTAATAACCTACACAGTTTACAACATTGTGTCGGAAACATTAACTTCTTTGTCTTCTTCCTGTATGAAACAAACAATAGAACATATGTTTGTTACATTTTAACATGAGTGTATTCTTTATATTTAGGGAGTTTTAATAGAGGAAAATAAATTTAATTACTTCTTGGAATCCTTAATAAGGAGACAAATAGTTCGTTGAAATTAATTTTTATTTGAGTTTCAAATTTATAATGGGTAAATAATGGAACATACATCATAATAAATATTTGATAAGATATTCGATTGAATAGGTTAAATTTATGAATATTGGTCCCTGTTTATAAAATAAAAATTAAAACCCTATATCTGTCTTCAGCACTGCATTTGTTTTTTTAACAGTTGTTAAATAAGTTAAAGCAATTACAACAAAAAAATTATACAAACAGTTAATAAAATTAAAATTAATAAAAAAAAACAATGAATAATTAATTTTTGACGAAAGTTGTATGCATACTTGAGTCATTTCAAACTTGAAGTTTTGATCCTTGTAAACTTTGTACTTTAACAAATGAAGAGTAGGTAATAATTTACCACAGCTCTACTGTCTTGTTAGGTATTAAATATTTGTAGCGTAGACACTTAATATTTTCATTTATTTGTATTCGTAAACTGTGTTATGAACTTACCACCAAAATACAATTGTTCTTAGAAATGTATGCTAAAGGATGAGGATTGAAATTAAAAATTGTTTACAGTATTTCATATCAAGAAAAGTTCATGTGCCAATTAATTAATTTTCAGCTATTTGCAGGGCTGCAAAGTTCAAACTTTCAATATGTTGTATAGTTGTACTAGAGAAAAACGTGACCCAGGTGCATCTATCAAGAACACAAGCCCATATTTCACTAAATGCATAACTCTGTCTTTTAAACTTGTATATATTACAAAATGAAACATTGTGTTACACGACGGAAGTGTCTGAATTAAGAAAACAATACCTTAAATCTGAGAACATTCTCATCTATTATACTCGTGGAAATGTTTACACGATACCTGTGTAACATGTTATGTTGTAACACTATTAGGTAATACAAGCACAATACAACTATTAGTGTAATCAAGATGTTCTAGTTATTTCTTAAAACTTAGAGGTTAAAAATGTTATTTTCTTGTTATGTCATTCAAAACTGCTTATTCAACCTAATACAGGTCAAGATATTTCCTCAGGTTTAAGTACGATTTAATATATAAACTCATTGTTTAAGGTACAAATATATAGCACTAGCTGTAACCCGCGGGCTTTGCCCCGTTTAACTTCTGAATTTTCAAGATTATCTCGTTCGCATGGCTCAATCACGTCCTGGTTGAAGTTTGTTCGCTAGCTCATTCACCTTTAGGTTGGAGCTCGTTCGCTACGCTCACTTGCCTTCAGGTTAGCTCGTTCGCTACGCTCACTCGCCTCCAAGTTGAAGTTCGTTCGCTACGCTCACTCACCTTTTGGTTGCAAATTAGCTGTTGTCATAAATAAATGTAAAAGAAATAATAGTGCTGCACCCTGTTGGTAATCCTTGTAAATTTAATGCTATTGAACATCATAGAACAGAACCAACTTGTTTAATTGAAACAGCTGTTAAGATTCAATACCATTTCTCATAAGGTTAACATGGGAAACTCCAGAGCCACTGGGGCGGAGCCCAAAAGGATTTTTGAAATAAGAATATGCCTATATGTTAATCGGGAATGTGAGCTATCATCATGCCAAATTTCAGCCCAATCCGACCAGTATTTTTCGCGTTCACTTGTCACAAACATACATCCATACATCCATACATCCATACATCCATCCATACATCCATACATCCAAACTTTCTCATTTATAATATTAGTAGGATAGTAGGATAAAATATGTAGCATATTTCAAATTTTTTATGTAGAAAATGTACTAAAATGAATCCTCATAAACACGGATAACTCCATATTTTTTATTAGATAAAGTAATGTACAAAAGTCTGTTCGATCCATAGATAATATTATTAGGCTTTTAATAACAGACCCTAACTGTAAACAGCTGATCTTCATTAGTAACGAAGCTACACGGATCATCTCTCTCCATTCTGCACCCATCCTTTAATTTATATTCAGCTCAAAGTACGTAATAACGCTGTTTTAAATAATTTAATTTTATTGTATTTTTGGCTGGCTTACCAAAAATAAAGATCTAGAAGATAGAGTTGATCTACTTTTTTAAATACTCTTGAAATATTTAGTCTTTATTTTGATTTTAAAACCAAATCTTATGGTTATAGAGTCAGTGCTTTAAAGCAAGTTAACTGTTATTATGAAGGCTAGGTAAATGACGAACTGTATTGTTACAAACTCTAAATAAATAAATTTCCAATTTTCAAATATTTAAATTTTTTAACGTTTGAAAAATTCAATACTTAGCAAAATTAATAAAACAAAAACACTAAAAACTTCTTTTCTCTTCGTACGAAGAAAAGTAATCAACAAAAGAGCTCCTGTAAATTTAACTTACAATGAAAAACACATTCACTACAGATCGAAGGACTATAAATTTCACAATTCAAAATGGCCTACAACTCATACAAAGATGGCGGAAATGTAAAAATAAACCTGGATTACGATTCTCAGCACGCCTCATGACTGTTAGCAATGTTTATGTTGTCATAAATGTGCATATGGAAGGAAGCGATAGCGGCTGTTGCCAAGTGGCGTAAAATGGTGTCGTTTCTGTATAAAGGTCACCACAGACCACCCTTCAATGCTGTTTTGTGTGTAATTTAACAGTAAAAATGAAGAAAAATTATGTAGGAATCTATCTTAGTACACTACTAACTATAGGATGTAATTTTAAACTCAATGTTAAAACTTTATTTTTTTAATTCGTCGATGTTTGTGATTTTATTGTGCTCAGAGTCATATAGCAATATGGTCTATATTTTAAGGAATAAACATTTGCATTACAATTTCTTGGATGTTCACTTTTGTTGCATAAAATGTGTGGATTTTCTAAATAAGAAATGTAATACCTATTAAATGTTTGCTAACCCTTGCACGTCAATCCATAAACAGCTTGGTAGTAGTATATTAATTACGTTACTAGTTCTGAAAAACAGGTGTTTAGTCGTGTGTGGTCGTTCCTATGCGAGACGAGGTCAAACATTTTGGTCGAGTGACGTACGATATTTTACGCCATACTAGTCTAAGTTAACTTAACAATAAAAAAACCATATATATATCCGCCGACTAAAGGACTAAAATCCCTCTCATAACCTCTAAGAGAGGTTATGTTTTTGTTTATAACCACTCATTGCCAAATATTCAGCTGTTTGGTGTCCGGTAAAAACTCATTAGACTACAGTAGTACGTAATGAAACACCTTTGATAAAGCTGGTGGCAAAAAGCTCTTTTCTGGACTAAATCCTTGCGTGGGAAGTTCGTTAAAACAGTGTCATGTAGCGTAAAAACCTTTCGCGAAAACATTGTTTAAAAACTAAAAAACATCCGTTTGTACAAAATTAAATAGATAAAAATCATACAGCATCCAAATCTAAGGAGTTATTTGACAAATACATTTGGAGTGTAATATAAGTATTATATTAAATTACTCCAATGAAAAAAATAATATGTGATTTCACCCTGTATAAATTCAATTATGAAGTATATTCACCAACCATGTAAAACAAACTCATTTCTATACTTCAGATTCCTCATTAAAAATACACTAGTAAAAAGTAACTTAAATAAATGGAATGATAATTAATTAATCTATGTGCACCCATGCAGCGTTGCAAAATAATTCATCTCCACCTGGGAAATTTAGGTTGTGGACGTTGGCAGCAATGAATGATGTATACTGATCCAACTGTCACAAACAGCTGTTTGTTTGAACATGCGATTCAATATGACATGACCAGTGTGACCTGCGGACGATTTCTCGGAGTTAGAAATAAATTGCTTTTGAACAAATATTTTTGAAACACATTTTTATTTATTCTGTTTCAAAGACCATCTTTCACTTGTTTTAACTAATATAAGCACTATGTTATGCCAGAATAGGTAATAACCAATCAATAGGTAGTTTAAGTGAGGGATTTTACCTTTTAAAATTGAGAACTAAAATGAAATATTAATTTACCTACCAAAATTTGCTCTATGTTAGAACAATGTCATCGGGAAAGTGAGCTGGAATAGTGGTAGATTGTGGGTCTTAGGTCCCGGGTTAAAATTTTGCCAATCACTATGGATTTTTACCTAAGTGATAATGCCTCAACCCTTATAGTGAAGTTTTTTTAAGTTATATGTAATACAGTTCTAGGCTAGAGCCAAGCGTCCTAATATGTAACGGTGGAATTAACATGTTATCGTACAATATAATTTTTCATTACTGGAATGAAATACCCCCGCCGCAGCAAACCTGTCAACTAAGCGAATTTCCATTTGGCTGAATTGTTTTCAACTAATTGAATGTATTTAAATAACATTATGTTTTATGATTATGAGTACCTAGGCTTGCTGCTACAGGGAGGGTAAAAAAGTGCGTTTTTTTAGTAAAATATTAATGATTTAGTATAAAATAAATCGATATTCCAAGTTTGATAAAATTTATATCTATAAACAAACAAACTATAACATTTTACAATATTCTTCTTAAGAGTAACATGGGAATTTTTAAAATATATTTTTTATTTTCTCCGTAACCAAAAATTTTACAAAAACACTTTGATATACTAAATTATTTGTTTTTTAAGCTCTTTGAAAAGCTCTAGAGAAAAATTGGGAAATTTTGTGTTTAGAGGGTCAAAAATTAGAAAAACCCATTTTAACCCCATAAAACCCCCGTAAAATCCCGTTCCCTAGGTCCGATCATGCTGGTTCGCGAACTCGTGTAAGTTTATCCCGCCTTACAAAACATGAGTCACGGTAATTTGTACGCAAACCTCTTAAATTACACCATCGTATTATTAAGTATAAGCTTCCAAAAAGACAACCCCAAAAAAAGTTATTAATTGCACCAAAGGTTTTTTAACACAAACTACTCTATTTGGAGTGGCAGGTAATTCTATGTTTTCTTAACACTTTCGCAAGTGATATTTCCCGGGACTCCTTTCCCTCGTAAAGATCGACCTTTTGCTTTCATAACTGTTATTAAAGCGATATTGTGATGATGAGGCGGTCCCACCCACAGCTGTTGTAAGAACCCCTTCTTTAACTAGAGATTACGATATGATAAACTATTAATTAGCCACCATCTGGTGTTCCAGATTGTTTCAGGGGTCCTTCTATTACTAATGAAAATATTTCCATTCGTATACTAAAATTACTACTACTATTAAACTACATCTGTATTATGTGTACTAAAATAACTCATACAGAAGTTTCTGTTAATCTCAACAGGAGAGCTAGTGTATGTAGCTGGTAGCTGACTTTCAAATAAATTTTAATACTATGATATGAAAACTCGAGGGAGAATCACTAGACAATGAAACAATGTGTTATTGTTTTATTAGTGAAAACCAAGAAAGTTTGTGTGTTTATTTTGCATCGTGATGAAAAGTAAATTAAGTCAAAAGAAAATTCATATCAATAATTTTTTCCTATATATTTTTTGACCTCTTATTGAAGTTAATTTTATTGCAACTCGAGTACACGCACAGGCCCTGCCGATGTGTAATTTTTCCTTTGTTAGAGAATGTATTTTTTTTATTCACTTTATTTCTACAGTATATAATTTTTGTTATGGATAGTATATTTGCTGTATTATTTGTGAGTAAAAAATACAATGTACTGATGTATATAGTTAATGGGAAATATTATTTCATTTCATCTCATTCAGGAAAGTTCACTATTTGTCACTTCGTAAGTTCAATTTCTAAGCTTGATAGTTGTAAATAGAATTAAGCTATTACACCTTTATGCCTTGAATATTTATATCCTTTAAACACGTTTATGAACCCTTACTTTTAGTATATACCCTTATACAAAACGATTAAAACCCTCTAAATATTTAACACCTTATCAAACTAATAATAATTATCATAATTTTCACGTAAAGATACAAAATATAAAACACAATTCAATTTAAAAGAATCAATATTGAAAAAATAGCAACACAAGAGTTTTATAACTAAATAGACGTGTCTTTAGTTAAATTACAATTTAAAAAAGTTTTAAACTAAACATTAAATATTTTAAAATATTTTTTTTTCAGAAAAGTCCGCATGTCTTGACCTATTTTTTACTATTGGTTTATCTTTTCTCTTTGTACAGTACAAGTGGTTTGTTTGCATAATTTAAATTGCATTTCAACACTGAAGACTTATTGTACAAGTAATGGTAGTTTGTACAAGCAAGGTATTGATAATGTTAATTGACTTTTTATGTTTATTCCAGACATTCTGTGTGGGCGTGGTTTTGCTTGTTGCACTTGCTGAAGTCCATTCCGGTAAGTAAAGTTTGGTAAAATAAAAAAAGAGAATAATATAGGTGAGCTGTCCTAAAATTTTCGATATTGAGGAAATAATATTTAACAATTATACTTTCTCATAATCCCCGATGGTAGTATGGTATATGTATCATGCCTTGGTATATACAATCAATTAGTTTCAGTGGTTATATACCACTGAAAGAGGCTGCAAGATTCCTTAACACATTTTAAATGTCTTGTTGGTACTAGTAAAATTTCTAGTACAAAGAATAACTAAAACGTGTAGTCCTTAAATAACTTAAATCATCGAAACGAAATATAAATTCTGTATACTTGCAATTTATAATAGTGAATAAGACATTTTCGGTGAACCAAAACTGAAATGTTCTATAAATTCTCACCAGAGCAATAAGCCTAATGTAAGCTTGTAAACATATATTGATGTTTTAAATTATCTACCAAGCCTTGTAATGTTGTGAATTTAATTTGTTCTGGGATAAAAACATTATTTGGTAATCAAAATAATAATTTTTAGTTCAGAAGTATAAGGAAGAAACACATTTAACGTGTTATTAAAACACTAATGTGAATGGAGGACCACTTTGTGTGGCAGAAACTTTTAATGTATGCCGACATATGGATAATACTTTATACAATTTGATATCTTTCCTTTAAAATTGTTTATAATACCAGTAATGTTAGAAGTAATGGAAATTACACCCAGGTAATACGTCTTTCTATGTGTCGGGTTTACCAACCGTGTAAATTTAACTAGCAATTAATTTTTAAAATATTAATTTAATATTATATTAATATTAATATTATATTTATTATTATTAATTTAAAATATGACGTTTCTATGAGAACTGAACTATCATATGGACCCCAACTGATATATTAAGGATAGAACGCATAATAATATACAAAATTGAAATAAACTGCACTCCATATTCCACTTGCATTCATGTTATCTATCGCAGCTAAAAACCCATATAATTCCCGAGATTTCCCGGAATTCCCCCTTCTCCCCTGAAAGGTACATTACAAACCACTTGGCCATCAATTTTGACGCCAGCAGCCATTAGAGAAGGCGGAGCGCAGCGTCTTCCGTGGATCTTTAAAAGCTTACATTAGGCTTTTTGCTCTGGTGAGAATTTATAGAACATTTCAGTTTTGGTTCACCGAAAAAGTGTTATCCACTATTATAAATTGCAAGGATACTGAATTTGTATTTCGTTATGATTTCAGTTATTTAAGGACTACACGGTTTAGCTTTCCTTTGTGCTATTTGTTCTTGACAATTAAAAATTATTCTAGACGAAACATAAGATACTCTTGGAAATACAATTTATACTTGTATTTAAAGATGGGTGGATTTTCATAGTTCATCTATTGGCTTTTGTTTCCCAAAATGCTACATATAGCCAATTTTTAAGCTTATGATAAAATACTATTCTATTTACAAAGAAACGAGGTAAGATTTTGTAAGCTGTGTTTAAAGTTTTGCACCCCTCCTCTTACGCCAAATACTGAAAGTTATTTGTTATTGGTAGGTTCGTCTTAAGTCTTACCTGTTTATATTCTACAGTATATAGTTGCTGTACATTTAAATTCATAAAATAGATAACACCTTTTTAACTAACGAAACGTAATTGTTCAAATACATAGAGCTTTTTTAGCTAACTTAATAGAGGGTTCATCATAGGAAAGAATGGGGCATTATTTACAAAGGAGTTCTACTCCATAATTATTTTAAAACCCCAAATAAATAACATAACATTTCACTCTAAGATGGATGACAAAATGTCCACAATTCTCGCAAAGGCATTTCCTCCAGATCCAGGGGATAGGTCAACGTACAAAAGACACCGGTTAATTCAGCTGACAGGTGCAATTCCCACGATGAAGTGGTGCAACTCGGTCGGTTATCAAAGGTCAGCAGGGGTCACAGGTCACCGGGGTCGGGGTCACGTGACCAACGTGTGATGGTTCAGTTGCACCAACTTTCACCTCACGTTGAGTAACAGGTATCCAGCGGCGATCAATGGGTTGTTGCAGTCATTGGGTTACAGCATTGCTGGAATCATTCCAGGAATTTGTGGAATAAATGGAAGATAGCTTGGTTTAGCAATAGTGTTACCAGTTAAGAGCGCAATAAATCTCCAATTTCCTAGTTCATCAGCTAAGTTACCTAGTTCCCTGGTTGTTTATTGGTAATATTTGAATTATTTACGTTTCTTGGATGACACAAATTTGTATTTTCTCAAGCAGAACTGCAGAAACATTTTTTAAAATCATAAGACTATTCATATGACTTATCATGTTTAATTAATTTTTAAAGCCTCTTACAAGTGGAAAAATATGTTAAAAAAGGTTATTTCTTGTTATTTGGTATTATAAAATAACACACAAAAATGAATACATTTCCTCCCAGATTCACTTCTGAGGTAAACATTTGATTACCATTTAAAACTAAAATCCTATAATAGTTGTCAATATTTATAACTCTTATGTATTATTATTATTTTGAATAGTAATCGTGTGATAATATTTTTTATAATTTCATATAGTTAAAGATTTTAGGCAGGATAGGATTTGTCATACTAAAACAAATTATAGGAATCTTCCGAAATATGTAGAGCTTCAAATCTCAGTTACTTTTTTCCAAATTCTCCATGTTCCTTTGTGCAAATAAATTTATATATTTCTTAATAAAATAAAACTCTTTAATTATTGTTATTTCTTAGGCAATGGTTTCCAATCCATTCTCAAACTACAGTAAATTAATCAAAACAAAAATGGAAATGTCACAATATGATTAGCAAATCTTTTGATGTTTTCCCGTTACAGGCTACATCAGTCGGGGATGGAGTAGCGGTGGAGGTGGAGGTGGATGGAGTAGCGGCGGTGGTGGAGGTGGAGGATGGAGCGGGGGCGGTGGAGGCGGCGGATGGAAGCCCAGTGGAGGAGGTTGGAGTAGTGGAGGTTAGTAACAAATCGTGCAAACTTTCGTTTTAGCGATTAATATTCCATCAATATAGTTTCCATCAAGAAGAACATGTATTGATATACAATTATGTTAGCAATATGTGTAATTTTGCGAAGTTTCTTCATTTTTGAAAATACAATTTTTTCTCAGGAGGAGGTGGGGGATGGAAAAGTGGCGGAGGAGGAGGTGGATGGAAGAGCGGCGGTGGAGGCGGTGGATGGAAGAGCGGCGGTGGAGGCGGCGGATGGAGCTCCGGCGGAGGTGGTGGAGGTTGGAGCGGAGGTGGTGGTGGAGGCGGTAAACCCACCATCATCAAGATCATCTACCTGAACAGCGGTGGCGGCGGAGGCGGAGGTGGCTATGGAGGTGGCGGACACGGAGGCGGCGGCGGCGGTGGATGGAAGAGTGGAGGAGGTGGTGGAGGATGGAGCTCAGGAGGAGGTGGTGGATCCAGCGGATGGAGTTCCGGAGGTAGTGGATCTAGTGGATGGTCGTCCGGCGGCAGTGGAGGTAATGGTTGTGGAAGATGTAACAATAAGATAACACATTGATGAACAGTTGACCTTCTAAAGCCTTCTGACAATGGAAGAAGAAATTTTGTCTGTTGATATATTAATGTGAGAAGGTTTGATTTAAAAAGTGTTTATGTTTTGTTCTGCTTTTACTATACACTTTCGTTAACATGACACGTTAACTGATGGGGTTATTAATATTTGTTTTTATTTGTGAATAGTTTAATCTGTCCTTACACAAATATGATTTGGTATGAAAAAAATGGGTGAACCGACGTAAGAATATGTTTTTACAAACGTGTGTATGGGTGGATGATTTTGGTACCAAAACAACTTACTTATACGTCTTAAAAAACGAACAAACACTACTGAAAATAGAAGAGGCTAACTATCTGAGATCACGAATTGGATGATATTGGGGAAACATCTATTAGAAGCGTTTTCCTCTGAAAGAGCATTTTAAAGTTTTATTCCTACTCGTAAAAACTGCAGTATAAACATCTAAAATTTTCTTCAAATCTGAAATTGATCTCAAATACCTAAAGTTAAGTTGTAGGTAGGAAAAAAGAGGGTTTAGATGACAAATAGTTTAAATTAACAAAAAAACTAATTCATTGTTTCCCATTACATCCGTAAAGTTGTATTTGACACCATTATGAGTCAAAACAGTCCAATTCAGCTGCTAAGTTTACAACAATGGCGATAAACGCAGTGTTACATAACCTCACAAATCCGTAACAGGCGAGACAAAACATGTTACAGACTGGCCGGAAACTGCGTCGTTGAAAGGGGAATCGTCGGGTTAGTGACAGGGAAAGCGGGAACTGGAATATACCGGGAAACAGAAGGAACTATGAAACTAAACCGTTCCCTTTGGTTCCGGTCGATGACTTTACGTCTGAGGCGTCTGCCGTGATGTCATCATGGTGGTAAATGTGGGAAATTACTCGCATAATGCGGTAAAAGTTGTTCTTGATTACACAAATAATTTCATGTTTGAAATGTGTGATTACCAATTGGTTCAGGTGTTTACGTTGGCATTTCGTATGTGGAAATATTGTGTAAGGTTTTGAAATGTTTTTTACATAGTTTGTTGGCACCATTACGGTCCCAAGAAGTGATAAGGTGTCTGAAAAAAAAAACTAAATGATTGTGTAAAAGGACGAACGGAACCGTTGAAATGTGGTTAGACTAGATGAAACTTTATTTTCCAAGAGTTGCAAGTTTAATCAAGTAGACGACACTGGGGGCTGATAGACATAAGAAATATTGTAATGAATGTAATCACTTATGGTACTGATATTTGAATACAAATTTAGATATCTCATGTATATAAACCTACCTCAAGACTAGTCGTGTTCATTTCTTATTTTAAATAAAAATAGTTGAGCTATCATCAAGTTTTCTATCAGTTTTATGTTTCGTTTTTGATACACTGATAGTTGATGTAAAAATATCTGTAGACCGGTAAGTTGTCCTTTTAGTTGGCCAAAAATGTGTTATCAGACGGAAATCAGAAATTGGTGGTTGAAAAATCTGTAGGTGGCTAAAACATGTTGATTCTTGTTCTAAATCTGTCTCTATCATGAGAACGGGACGTCTACTCGTATCAATAGTCAAAGAATGGGAAGATTTTAGTTATTGGATAGAAACTATAAGTTGGCAGTGTCATCAAACTTTTTATAACTAAAGGCAAATTTATAAATATGACTTTGCTGAAAGAAATAACTTAAAAATCGATTGTTGTGTTCGCAATTTGTCCTCGAATAGTAACACCAAATTTACATACCATAGTGTTAATGTTTTGTGTTTCTGAGTTTATTGTGCATTATTAACACTGTTTTAATGATTATCATCTTCTTTTCAGGAGGCGGTTGGTGGGACGATTAAACATCAACTTCATCACATCAACATCAACACAAAGTTACCATCATCATCCCATACAGCACCAAACATAATGTACAGTGTAAAATAAATGTAAAGTTTTGTAAGTGTAACAAGGGATTCTGTCTCCTACACGTTTGCTATATATTGTTTAAATGACCAGACCAAACCTTATCCGTTATTTTGCATTATAGTGAAAATAGGTTTTCTAAAAGATTAATTTTAATTGTGTTCACATCAACAGTATTTGGTTTTGAGATATGACTATATGGATTACTATTGGGATAAAATTTGTTCTTTTTATCGAACAATTTTTTCGACTACTACAAGAGCTAGCATAATCATTTAGAAAAATAAATTCTGTTCACAGGAATTATTTAATACGTGTTAACAATATGAAACGCATACAACATAATAATTCCAAAAATCATTTAAGACTCCCCTCAAACAAGGAAGACTAGCCATGTTATATTGTTTATTTTTAATTTAAAATATTTTAATGATATGACTAAAGTAAAACTACTTGTATATTCTGGTCGTAAATATCGCAGTCCACACTATTAAAGTCAAACATCCTTTTTTATTGAAATTAGTAGTTGCAACAGTAACCCTCTACTGTATATTCTACAACTTACGTAGGGAGTTTTCTACACAGACCAACAGGTTTCCAGCCTCATAAACAACAGTTCGTAACCTCATGTAATGGCTTTGCAGCCTGACCTTGAGTCTTTTATTTATCGGAAGGGTTTCGTTCTTTATTGCGATGGTTTGGCAAAAAATGAAATATTTTTTTATATTTAAAAGCCTCCTTTAGCACTCGAACGGTTTTAATATACCCTTTGAGGACTATAGATAACGGTTCTAGATTATTAACCAAATAAATTAGTGTCAGTTTCTATTGTTTGAGGTGGCTTATGCAATTTTAGGTTAGCATAAAAAAACAAATTTAAGTTTTTAACAATAACGTCTGAAAATATAAAAAAACAGGTTTTAAATATTTGTAAATATACTATTGTTTAAAATTACATAATAATTATAGCCACAGTGCCCCGTTCATGAAAGTTATGGTTTCTGATTCAAACGAATAATTTTTTAAACGTATACTTTAGTGTATTATAATAACATTTTTACTTACCTACTAACTAACTGTAAATGGTTATGAAAGAATTTGTTGGTGTCAAATTCATCTCAATTTCAGATAAAAAATAGAATCATGCATCATTTTATGTAAATATAAAAAGTCTTTTTTAATAGATGATCAAGTTCTACTTCAAGGCTACTTTAAATTCATCAACGATCCTTTCGGAATATTTTAAAATTCGACAATTATGTTTATAGAACTAGTTGTGGGTTCTGAGTCTTCAACTTAAAAATTATTTTGAGTAACAGTTTTGCCATTGTTATTCTTTTAATGTTGAACTACTTCTAATTAATTGTAAAACAAATTTGTATATTTCAAGAGCATGAGCATTGATGCTAAAACTAATTTCTACGAAACGTTAATTAATATAATTGAGTCACCTATGTTTTTGCAGGATTTCGTACAATGGTATAACAATATTGCTTTTCACCGACACAATACTATACGAGTCAAGTGGAACTGTAATTGGCAATCAAAATTTAACAAGGCCATTGGCGGTTCCACGAACGTTGTGTTGTGTCAGGTAATTGTAAATATAAACAATTGAGGGGAAATATCTGCAGCATCAGTTGTACCTGAACAAATAAACTCAGACACACCCTATTTTGTTGTGAACTTTTATTTTAAGAGTTTTATGTCGTTGGATTTGAGACAATAATTTATGTATGCATAAAGGAAAATAACGAAGATTGTAGGAGTAACATTTGATCGAAGTTATTTTGAGGGTAGTTGTTTTCGTCTGGGTTTGTTTTTAAAACAGAACAAAAATAATTGTTAAACGTGAAGAGTTGTGACATCCCCTATTCCTAAGGAAGTAACAGTTTTTGAAAATCAATTTTTGATACCGGTTCCATTGGAAACTAAAAAAACTGCACCCTTGGCAGCTGGACAGACAGACACCACCTCAATTTTATAATTGTATATATAGATAGAAGATAGATATAGATAGATAGATGTTAATTGTATCGTTGATGACAAGTAGCTGTTTAAAAAAAAAAATTGTGTATTTTACTGTCCTTTAGTACCAACTATAGGCCTACTGATATAAGCCGTACAACTATTCGTTTATAGATGTATAGAGTTATTTGCGTCTCTTTGAATCCCCATGTATTTGTTGTTATTTTTTGTTTATTGCAGTTTATCACTTGGCTCACAAAGTGATTTAACAACGAATATAATTTATTTAATGGTAATATGAGTAATTTAAAATGTATTTCACCAAACCCCGGACTAAAAAACAACACTTCAACTCATGCGTTAGCTATAAAACATTATAGGGGTCTTTATGAACTAATCAACACATGAACCATATAAGTAATTGTATCTTGCAGACGATGAACTCGTACGGTTTACAGTCCAATATAAAACATGTTTCATGGCGACCGTTAACG